AGAGAGAGAGTAGAGAGAGAGAGAGAGAGAGAGAGAGAGAGAGAGAGAGAGAGAAGAGAGAGAGAAGAGAGAGAGAGAGAGAGAGAGAGAGAGAGAGAGAATCCTTGCTTACTGTTCTCCCTGCAATAACATGCTTTTCTTGGAGGGCTTTGTCTGCAACATTGGAATCTGAAAACACAACGAACCCAAACCCTCTTGCACTACCTGTGTTCCTATCTCGCATTATAACCGCATCAAGAACTTCACCATATTGCTTGAAGTGATCTTTAAGTATTTCTTCATTTGTTTCCCATGAGATGCCCCCAACAAATAGCTTTCCCTGGTCTGAATCCATGGCCACCAAAGATGACCTAATTCAAGGAAAAGCAAAGCCCCTCAAACCCAAGATGAAGACCCAAAAAGCTCCCTTATGAAAAACCGGAGACGAAACAGGCTCAAGAGAAAACCACCCAAATTAGCAGAAACCCACACAAACACCACCCCAAAAACCAGAAGCAAAACCTCAAACCAGTACACAGGGAGTCGAACAAGAATCCTAGAGAGAAACTCCTTAAAACCAGTAGACAGGGAGACGAAGAAGAATGATAGAGAGAAACTCCTTAAAAGAAATCCCTTGAAACCCTTGCAACGAGAGTAAAGTGAAACCCTAGAGAAACCAGACAGAGTGAATCTAGTGAGATGAACCTAAGAAAATTAGAGAGACACAGAGATTAACGAACCCTAAAACCAAACCCCAACCCCTGAAGGGCGGCGAAAGAGAAGAGAGGAGTTGAGAAGTAGTCGACTGGGGTTTTAGCGTTGGAATTTAAGACGGTCAGTCCCTTTTCTTAAACTGGACGGCTCATATCTATCTTGGGCCTATAAGGAACGGATGAGATTTATCTTGATCTTGTGGGCGTCTAGATCAAAGTATTTAATTCAATCACCAAGGGTTAAGATATCTTTTGAGGAATTTAAGGTGTTGGATTTGATTGTAATTGGATTTTTTATTTTTTATTTTTTAAAAAAAGTGCAAAGTCTTCCCTCTCTTATCAACTTGTTCTTTCTCTCTCTATAGATGGCATCTTTTAGGTTAAATTGGATCGAACTTCTTATTTTTCTCTCTCTGTAGATGGCATGTTTTAGGTCAAAGTGAAGTTTCTTGTGATGTTTATCAAAAGTGAAAGTTTCTTAGAATGCACATCAAAAGTGAACTCCACTTTAAAGTTGGAGGATTTTTCTTTAACAACAATTTTTTTCAAATTTTTACCTTAATTTTTAGAAAAATTAATAGAAAACTTATTTTTAATTTGCAATTAAAAAAGGAAAAAGTTTATGTAAAGCGAATGCTCTATACAATCAAATTTAAGCTCACCTCAAAAATTTCACTAGCAGAGGTTGTTTTGATGCCAAAATATCTTGAAAAAAAAAATTGATTTCAAGTTTTGAAAAGTGGTGCCTCTTGTAATGCATTTTTAGACTTCAAGATTTTCAAGTTTTCGTAGATGTACTCGATCTACCCTATTTTTTAAGCTTTAAATTTCATAATTAAATATGAAAAAATATTTTAAGGCCATCACAAAAATTTCAAGTATTCTACCCTATTTTTTAAGCTTTAAATTTTATAGTTAAATATAAAAAAATATTTTAAGGCTATCACAAAGATTTAAAGTATTGAAACCACATTTCTCGACATTATTTGAAGGTGCATTTCTTTTGATTGTTCAGAGCCTCGGCTCTATACAAGTCGCACCCTTAAAAAAATAGCTCTATATATATTATATTTTTGCACTTAAATCCTTTTTTATGGTAAATAAATATTGTATTTTGATTTTATTACTTTTATGTAAATCTGACTGAGCTCAAATATAGGCATACATACTTTACACTATAAAAATAGTTAAAACTGTCATTCATTTTTATAAAAATGTCCCAAATATCCTTACAAATTTCAGAATCTTAGGTTGTTTTTGTATTTTATTTATTTAGAGATATGTTTTGGTACTTTTTACAAAAATAAGATGTTGAGAAGCTTTATCTCCTCAAATTTGAGCTTAATCTAATGTATAAAAACAGAAATTGAAATTAAAATATAATGCACAATCTCAAAAGTTGAACTGATGTATAAAATATGAAGGGTGCAGTTGGCATACGGATGCATCCATAGGTGTGGAGGTAAGGTGCACCTTCAAATTTTATCATGATATGTAATTTTGATGTAAAATGTTTTTAGGATTATCTCAAAATCTATTTTTATATCTAATTATAAAAGTTTAAATTTAAAAAATAGTTAAAATCACGTAGATCTACATATGAAAATTTTGAACATGGACGGTGTAGATACTATGTTGTAAAATGCATTATTTATGAGACTTAAAATCTTTTTATTTTTCATAGTCATACATCTCGATATCGAGGTGATCAATCAGAGGGTTTTTCAACATTAAAACTACCTTTTCTTATGGATTTTTGAGGGGCATTCGTAGTTCTACATTATAAAGTAGCATCCTTATATAAATTTTTTCCAATATAAAATATACATGACCATTTTTAACTTTTGATAATAATATATTTTTTAAAAATTTACGTTCTTGCGTGGCTTCTATCTCTTCGTTTGAGTAAACAAGAACTAAATCTAAGAATTAAATGTTTCAATTATCATACATATCATCAACCATATTTTCTCGACGCATCATTATCTCCATTCGTTTTTTTTTTTTTTTTGATGTTTTTAAATCTACGATGCAGTTTTAAGGACTAAAAACCAAAAAAGAAAAAGGAAAAATTTAAAGGTAAGACCCTGATTTGGTGAGTCAGACGCCTCACTAGCAGTTGCGCGTCTCCTAATGCATTAGATGTCCACCTTAGAGATGGGTGTAAAAGGGCAAAAAAGGTGTCACTACTAAATGTCAAAATAGATGATGGCAAAATAAATTCCAAAGACCTTTTTTATTTTTCAAATAAAGAAGGGTGCGGTTTTGTATAGTTCTTAGGCTCTAAACAATCAAACTAGAGCCTACCTTCAAATATTATCGAAAAATGTGGTTTTAATATTAGAAATCTTTGTAATAGCCTTAAAATATATTTTCATCTTTATATATAAAGTTTAAAGCTTCAAAAATAGTGTAGATCGACATATCTATAAAAACTTGAAAATCTTGAAAATTGACGTTAAAAAAATGCATTACAAAATATACTACTTCCAAAAATAAAAATCTATTTTTTTTCTCATGTCCATACATCTTGATGTCGAGATGACCAATTAGAGGATATTTGGGCATCAAAACAACCTCTTCTAGTGAAATTTTTGTGGTAGGCTTCAATTTGATTGTTTAAAGCCTCAGCTCTATATAAACTTTTTCCAAAAAAGAAAAGTTCCATATTCAAGATCATAATCATGATTGAGACTAAGAAATTCTAATATTTTAGATCGAGAAAGGACCGCACATCAATAGGTGAGTCCGCTGACTCGCCAAACACTTTTCTAAAAAGTATTTTATGAATTTCTTTATAGGCAAAATTGAAGGGGTCATCACTTGATGTGACAGTAAAAGGCTCGGGTAACCATCGCAAGAGAGCAGGTTCAAGTCCTGCGAGCGGTCATTTTGTGCATAAGTCAAAAGTTAGGACCGTTTTCCGCCCGTTCTCGTTCGGCTCTTAGAATCACATCTAGCAATGGTTGGAACAGCTCGCAAAATCCAACCAGTTCACCTACTTCATTGCCCCCAACCATTTCTCGTACCTCGATTGAAACAGAATGGTTTCATGTTCCTTCATTGATTAATTAATCCTCTCCATTCGGATCTCCTTCTCCTAATTTTGTCTCGATTAGTTCACAAGATTGAATGGCCAAGTCATTGAAATGCCTCTATTGTTTTGTACTTTAAAAGGTCAAAAGGAGTTTACAGGAGACAAGAAAGCGCTTCACTTGGTAACTAAGCCATACAATGCTGTAAGACATGGTAGTAACAAAGACGACACGCATACAGTAACTAGGACGGAGGGTAGGTTACAGTCTGGTCAGTGCATACAGTACCCTACAACAACAGTAACTAGGACACCTGGTGGCCGTAGGTGGAATGCTTTCGTTACTGAATTTCCAATCATCAAGGTCCTGCCCCGTTTGCTTCTGTCTTTCGCGGTTCGCGGTAGATGGACATGCCATCTCTCCCAATGAGGTCACCCCTAGGTAGGTATTCCTCTGTTTGGTAGGCACCCCACTTTGTCCATAAACCAAAAGTTAAAACCGTTTCCAGCGCACCCCTTTTAGGACCTGCTTAGGCAGAACCAACACCGGATTACGGCTCTTTGCGGAACCAACACCGGATTACGGCTCTTTGTAGACAAAATTGGTTGATTTTATCCTGGTTGGTGTCAACTTAAAATACAAATATTAATAGGATAATACTTAGTGGCATAGCTAGTTATAAGCTATGAGATGAACTTGTGTGAACTATACTTCTAACAAAATTAATCTCCAAAGGAGATATCCTTTCACCACACTCTGATTTAAGCGTCATTTTAAAAATATTATTTGAAGAATAGTCAATCTATATCTAATATCTATTTATTGAGCCACAAAGGGTGGACACACGTCACATGAAATGGAGAAGTTCAATATCATTCTATTTTTTTTTTTATGAAAGGAAACCCATTGAGAGAATTTATGATAGGATAAA